GTGGTAGTTACCTTGCTGTCTATGGGAGGGTCAGAGAGCCCTCAGATTTCATCAAAAATATCTTAAATTGTGTTCCGAAGATGAACGAAGGTCTTACGGGTTTGGAACAACACAAGGGTGAGTAATTAATGACAGAATTTTCATTTTTGGGTGAACTAACCCTTTAATATGTTTAATATGTGACTCTTGTTCTTGTTCTCATAGAATTTGCACCATCCTGGCATTGTAAACCTGGAGTGTATGTTTGAGACTCCAGAAAGAGTCTTTGTTGTCATGGAGAAACTCCATGGAGACATGCTGGAGATGATCTTGTCCAGTGAGAAGAGCAAACTTCCAGAGCGCATCACCAAGTTTCTGGTCACACAGGTTTGCAAATCTTTGTCTCCTCCTATCCTTTCAAATCCACTTTTTTTGTTTATCTTATGTATTCTGAAGTGCAATTTGTTTCGATGAGGCAGTAGTCCGGATCTCATCTAGAGCTAAATTAGGCCCCGTCCACACAGAGACGCGTTTAGCTGTATACGCATACATTTTGTATCGTATAGGCGTTTCGTCCAGACGGATCCGGTGTTTTGGGAGAGTGAAACCAATATTTTTTGAAACCGGGTCCCAGAGTGGATAAATCTGAAAACGCCACCCTTGCGTTTTCGTGTGGACAGTGAATCCGTATATTTTCTGAAACGATGACATCATCAGCCCACGTCTCGCCCCACGTAACCGCAACAAAAACATGAACAAACACTGAACGATTGTCTTTTTATTAACTAACATTAACACAGATTAATAAATGTATTGTTCCATGTTCGTTTGTATACCGCGCGCAAGGTTTATGCGCATAGTCCAAGTCTTCTTCTCCATTTTTAGTGTATCTCTGTGGCAGAATTACAGCGCCACATACTGGTCTGGCATGTATACTACATCGTTTTGTGTCGGTTTCTTGCTTTTGTGTGGGCATCCACACGAAACCGACACAAAACTATGTTTTGCATAGATATTTCTTGAGACAAGGGGAAAAAAAAGATCGGATAGGGAAAGCTCTGGCTTCGTGTGGACGTAGACTTAGAGCGGTGAGTCTGTGGCTTGATTAGAGCAGTGGGGCCCCTGAGGGCCTCAGGAGGTCATCCATTAGCCATGGATCTGAAGCCACAGAGCTGCTGTGATGTGGCAAAGATGTTTATGTCTGCGGTGTTAGATGATTGTGATTGCATCCACGTATGTTCTCGACATGTAGCCCAATGCCCGCTGTCAGTGGTGTTGGTCTCACTGCCCAACTATCTTCCGATCAGACCAAGCATTCATACACCACTGTTCAAAAGTTTGGGGTCAGTAATATTTTTTAATGTTTTGCAAGAAGTCTCTTGTACTCACCAAGTTTACATTTATTTGATCAAAACTGCTGTAAAAAGACTAACATGATTACAATTTAAAATAACCGTTTGAAGAAATGTAATTTATTCCAGATGTCAAAGCTGAATTTTCAGCATCATTACTCCAGTCCTTGATCCTTGATCACATGATCCTTCAGAATCATTCTAATATGCTGATTTGCTGCTCAAGAAACGTTTTTGATTATTATCAATGTTGAAAACAGTCGTGCTGCTTCATATTTGTGTGGAAACGGTGATACTTTTTTCAGGATAAAAAAAAAAATTGTTACTGATCCCAAACATTAGAACAATAGTATGTGACCCTGGACCACAAAACCAGTCATAAGGGTCAATTTTTTGAAATTGAGATTTATATATCATATGAAAGCTGAACAAATAAGCTTTCCATTGATGTATGGTTTGTTAGGATAGGACAATGTTTGGCCTAGATACAGCTATTTGAAAATCTGGAAAATGAGGGTGCAAAAAAATCTAAATATTGAGAAAATCGCCTTTAAATTTGTCCAAATGAAGTTCTTAGCAATGCATATTACTAATCAAAAAATAAGTTTTAATATATTATCCTAATGATTTTTGGCATAAAACAAAAATCGATAATTTTGACCCATAAAATGTTTTTTTTTGGCTATTGCTAAAAATATACCCAAGCGACTTGAGACTGGTTTTGTGGTCCAGGGTCACATATACTGTATGTAATGTAATATGAGATTGGATAAGGCTTTATTAAACTAACCTTTTACTAGCACAGTATTCCTCTTAAATACATTAATATTTTACTGGTATCAAACTACAATATCAGTCCAGAAAGCTTGTTTGCTATCGTATGAAACTGTTAGCTGCTCAACTAGAATATTTCATATTGGGGAGAAATCACATTCTCCCATTTATCCGATCAGACAAAGTTGATGATAATTAGAAACAAATTAAAGGGATAGTTCACCCAAAAATGAAAGTTACCGTATGGTGTATGACTTTCTTCTTTCAGACGAATACAATCAGCGTTATATTAAAAAACGTCCTGGCTCTTCCAAGCTTTATAATGGCAGTCAATGGCTGTTGAGATTCAATAGTCCAATAGAAGTCCAATAAAGTGCATCCATCCATCATAAAAAGTGCTCCACACGGCTCCAGGGGGTTAATAAAGGCCTTCTAATGGGTGTGTGTAAGAAAAATATCCATATTTTAAACTTTATAAACCGCAATCTCCAGCTTCCGCTAACTGTCGTACGCTCATTCGTCTCTCGCATTCACGAGAGAGTTGGCGTTCCAGCGGATGACATAAGTGTAGTGTAAGCTCTGATTAGAAGTGACGAACGCGTAAGTGCAGAGGAGAGAGAAAAACAAAACACCAGTTACGAATTAGAAGTCCAAAACAAGGATTTGTAAAATAAAATGTCAGAGGATTTCCACTCGTGAACGCACGTACGACAGTACAGACAGACAGACAGGCCTTTATTAACCCCCTGGAGACCATGGAGTACTTTGTATGATGGATGGATGCACTTTATTGGACTTCTATTGGACTATTGAATCTCAACACCCATTCACTGCCATTATAAAGCTTGGAAGAGCCAGAACATTTGTTAATATAACTCGTCTGAAAGAAGAAAGTCATATACACCTAGGATGGCTTGGGGGTGAGTAAATCATGGGGTAATTTAAATTTTTGGGTGAACTATCCCTTTAAGGGTTTTACTTTTAACTTTAGAAGTGGATATTACATTGGTGGCCATTCAAAGCATTAAAAAGACCATCCAGTTGATACCTGCATGCCAATAAGTGACTACTTTACTGTGATAGATCCTTGTGGCTTTGCGACATCTCCATTTCAAGAACATTGTTCACTGTGACCTGAAGCCAGAAAATGTGCTGTTGGCATCTGCGGAGCCGTTTCCTCAGGTAAACAACAGTGAATTAAACACTTCATTCTTGAAAAATCACCATATAATAAGCACCAGGTTTCCCAGACTGGCTTTGCGAACTGCAAGAGGTTATTGAGTTGAAAGCTAATAATTAATTAAATTTAAAAAAAAATGTAAAATTACAATAAATACATCATTTTAAAATAGAAAGCATTTAAAATATAACACAAGAAAAGAATGAAATAATTGAGATGTTTATTTGTAACCATTAACCAACATCATAGAACTGTGAATGTGTTGATAAATTATTGGAATATTATCTTAAATTCTCAGGAGGTCCTTCAAGTAAATACTTAAACAGGTTCAGCTGACAAAAATGTTTGAAATCCCTGTGATAAAACCAAACTAGACCACTTGCTCAGTGAGATCACTCTCTTGGTCCAGGTAAAGTTGTGCGACTTTGGGTTTGCTCGGATCATCGGGGAAAAATCTTTCCGGCGTTCAGTGGTGGGCACACCAGCGTATCTGGCCCCAGAGGTGCTGCGCAGTAAAGGCTACAACCGTTCCCTGGACATGTGGTCAGTGGGAGTCATTATCTATGTCAGTCTGAGTGGCACCTTCCCCTTTAATGAGGACGAGGACATTAACGACCAAATCCAGAACGCAGCGTTCATGTACCCATCAACACCCTGGAAAGAGATCTCTGCAGAAGGTAAGCAGTCACGCTTTACTGATTTCAAGCTACTTTCTAAA